GAGCGCCCCTCCACGGCAACTCAATTCCATATGTTAACACACGGTGAATGTCCAGGTAGGACAGGTTCTCGTAATTCTTCTCCCGTATAAGTGCCTTTAGCTCAATACGGCATGAAGGTTTTAACTCAAGTGCAGTTGTGCTTCCAATTTTCACATAATAATACCTTTTGCCTTCATATTCAGGCCCATAAGGTGTGAAGAAGGAGCTGCCGTTAATGCAGGTAGGAGCTTCCACATAACGTGGGGCATTTACAAGATTTTCACAACTTATGAAAAGAATGCTCTCCCAATCATAATAATAAGAATAAGCATAATAATCTTGGGAAAGAGTTGGGAAGCTAGAGTCGTCCCAGGAATATTGAGGTATGGAGCAGCTCCCTTCCTCAACACTAGCATCAGCTACTCGAATTGTTTGTAAGTCATAATTGATTGCTTTCACGTAGAATTTTCCTGATTTAGAAGGGAATACCGTAAAGTTTTTCTCACAGGATAAAGAATATGATGGATTTGCAGTCTCTCCACAGTAAGGCGGATCTGTGTTTAATCTGAAAGGGTAGCTAATATTCAAATTATTTCCACAAGAGGAAGGTGGACAATAACGTGAATCTTTAGCACTGCAAGTCTCATGAATTAAGCCGAGAAGAAGAAGAAAAGCAACGAAGATGAGGCCTAGTCTAGGCATGGAGGGGGACAAAAGGTGTAGACAACTTTCAAGTCTTTAAACAGAGTCTAGTGACTTACAAAAGAACTACAATAACTTCTTGGCCTTAAAATAACCACACACACTGCATCTCCACATTTTTTTTTTTTTTTTGAACCACGTAATTATGGGGGGAGAGATTACAAGTGTGGGTTGGGGTTCGAACTTGGAACTCGACACCCCACGTGCCAATCCACCGAGCAAAGGACCAATCCCATGTGGTTGGCCTCCACCATCCAACAGTTTATCACCAGACTTTGGACTATTATTTATTTTTATTTTTATTTTTTAATGCGGAAAAGCATCATTATTTAAATTGAGACAGTGTAGCGGGCCCCAGGTAACGACTTTTCTTGATGGTTTACTTTTAGATTACGCTTAATTACCTTGCACCTAGACCTTCACTTTCTTGGTAACTTGCAGGGCGTTGACTATAACAATCAACTTTAGAATTTTGGGTACAATTGAATACATTACTTACCCCACCCACATTGCTTGAATATTCTGTTTAACCTTCAGATAATATGGGGGCTGGTCCGCTTCTGATATCGAGAAGTATTTTAATGATGATGGTTTCTTGGGAGTTTTTGGGTATTGGTGTTTGGAAATTTGGAATGGGTCCTGTGAATTGATTTGGGGGGCAGATACCGCTTGCCACGTCAATTCAACGCAAAAAATAAAGCCTACGGAGTTTAGGTTTTGGCGGATTTGCTCGGTAATCGGCGGAAGGTGTGTTAGGGTTCTTTTAATATGTGACTTATAGGTATAAATTAATGGTTTTTTTTATTAATTATTATTAAAAAATAAAAAATTAATTTTTATTTGTTAATATTAATTAATGATAAAAAAATATATTAATTACATTTTTAATTTATATGTTAAAATATTTATTATTATTATTATTATTATTATAGGAATGCCTACCGGATGCAATGTAGATTTAGAATTCTGTATTGATGCAAATCAATTTGACATATGAAAAGAAAATTTTAAGAATGGGAAAGAGAAAATAGCAAATTCACATAAATCAAAACAAAATGCTCACCCTCTTTGAAGCGCATGATTACAAAATAAGCTTATGAAGTGTTGGCTTTTTCAAAATAATACTAACGCATTATTCAAAGTTAATGTATGGTAATATGATATTAAAAAACTAGTAGTAATCATTAAAATAGATAACAAAAAATACTAATGCATTATTTAAAGTTAATGTATAGTAACATGATATTAAAAAATTAGTGGTAATCATAAGAGTAGCTCCATCGAAGTTACTTACCTTTTTTTTTTTTTCTCACCTAAGGAAAAAAAGCTTTATCAAAGTTCATAAAAGTAGTTTTATCAAAGTTAACTTTTTTTTCTTTACACCCAAAATAAAAAAAGGCTTTGGCAAAGTTCAATAGGAGACTATAGCTACAAAATGAAAGCATTTTTTTTATAAAAAAGTTTGGCGTAAATCAAGACATAACTTCCCAATTTGCTTGATTTTTCTACACGGTATCAGTATTAAAGTTAAGTGAACCACTGAATACAAAATTACAGACGAAGGACCCTAGATATTTCCAATTGCTTGATTTTTCTACGTGCTTTCTTTAAACAATTTAAAAGCTAAAACCACTAAATTCCCAAAAAAGTCTACAAACTAAGCATACTTAAGGCCCAAAGAAAATGGGCTAAAATCCAGCCTTATCTACAAACTACTTAATAAAGGCCCATCTATCCTAACTGGCCCATTGCACCCCTCGCCATGCCTTTAGGCTTTCAAGAAGTTGCTAACTGCTACAAACTCCGTAGTTGCAACCAACTCAACGTTGGTGCTTCATTCATGCACTTCTCGCACTCTTAGCCTCTTTGGTTAGTTTCTACGTGCAATGCTCCTCAACCAACAGTATGAAGATCCAGTCAATGATTTCCTCAGGCCACCCTCATCCTCCACCATCTCCTTCATTTCCTTCTCCGATCTCAACACCACCGAGGTATGCATATTTCCCCCAGCCCAATCCTAATTATCTCATTTGAAAATTGAAATTCTTCCGTTCATGTTAGTTTTCTTCTTTTTTTACAGTCTACATTTTCCTTTTTCATGATAGGAGCACAACATTGGGTCGCCGTTGCCGTAAATGTAGAAAATCGCGCCAGTTTTGTGTTCATTAAGGATTTTGAGATCGACCACAATGACCGTACAATTTGGGAGATCAGGATCGCTTTCGGGAATCTTGAAGACGACCTTGATTTTTTTCATGTGAGCATTGTTTTAATCTTTTTTGTCTACTTTGGGTTTGCTTGCGGTTTTAGGCTTGGGTCTCTCTTTTTTCTTTTTTTTCTTTTTTTTTTTTCTATTTGATTGATGAAAAAATGAAGGGAAATCTCCATGGAAAAGGCATCTTAATGCTTTAATCAGTTTGCTTAATTTTGGAAAGTAAAAATACAGATGTATTGGGCATGGATTATTGTGATTTTTGTTCCTGTTTATTTACTCGTTTTGACCAAATCAAGATATCTTTAATTTTTTTTTTTCACTTTTACCCTACAATAAAAGCTTAATGACAGTAATCTTTGTTATTTTAAGAAAACAAAGACCCTCCACCTTCCTCTGTTTCATATATAGTACTCATTTTTGGCTTATGAATCTCTAAAGCTCTTCAAGATGGCTGTTTTAGTTTCTCTTATATTCTCAACACATCAAATCAACTCTTA